GGCTCAATAAATTAAACACTGTCCTATCAAACCAATTTATGTTTATAGGTACCGCCTAAATCATTCTACTTTATATGAAGTTGTTTAAAACAGACCCCTCATTAGAAAGTAAATATAAGTAGATTTTAAGATCAATGGATAGAGTTAAAGACTTTGTCTGCATCTTCTTACACTACCACACACATTAACAGAACTCAAATTATAATAGTAAATGTTATGCTAATAGAAGAGCTGACTTTTTAACCACTTTTGTCAAAGTACCAAATGTGGACTCCCATAGCCATGCTACTGATTCAAGACATAAGGAAGAGAGCCTAAAGCTCACCCAGATGGAAGAAAAGAAAAATATCATTAAAGCTCTCTTAACATAGATGATTTGTTTCAAGCTTCCTCTTAAAAAAAAAAAAATCTTTTGGTAACAGCTTTATTATTTGAAGACAAAAACAAAGCTTAAAATTCACTTAAGTGCTCAATCTTGTGTTCCATTAATATTCTATCCTTTTGCGGTCACAAATGTTAGAAGCAAAATGCTAACAATGAATCAAAGAACAACTTTCACATATGCTGAAAGTATCTGCTTAACCGTCAGTTAACAAGTTGTTTTTTACAGAACTATATAGAAATAATTTTGAGACCTGTCATTCTACATCTAATAAATCACTTTAGTTTCATTTTTAAGTACAAAAATATATATAATAACTTTTAAAAAGATAAAGAACTAGTTAACAAACTGAAAAGGACTTTAAGTTTTCTTGAATTTTAGCTGGAGATGTTTTCTTCAATGTTAAAATGGTTAATCTAAGATAGACTACTCTTTGATTTCTAAATGACAAAACATTTCCTTCACACATATTTTTCCTTCTGAGGGCAAAGGGAAAAAACAGCATTAAACCAAAACATAATGCTAAAAGGCAAAGGATTTAAAAATTTTAAAAGCAGAGCACCTGGCTGACTTAGTTGGTAGACCTCATGACTCTCAATCACACAGCTTTGAGTTCAAGCCTTATATTAGGTATGAAGCCTACTTGAAAAAATAAATAAATAAATAACCAACGGGATAGATAAAAAATTTTAAAGCAACTATCTTTATTTGAAAACTTCTCTTGAATAACCCTCCAATGTCATGATAGACATGACTTTCTGCATAAAAGAAACACAGTTTGGGATGAAGTGTTTTAAGAAAATAATGCCATAAAGACTCTGAAATGCTAAATCCTCACTTCTATACAGAAGGAATCTTGTGGAAGCAATAAATGACACACATCTCATGAAATGTTCTTAGGCTGTTGGTTCCCAACTTCTGTAGGGCAGACAATCATAAAAACAAAAAAGTAGCATGAGTGGCATAAATGAATTCATGTTATCAAGGAAGTTATTCAAGAGAAGCTTTGGTGTCAAAAACATTCTATTTGACCAAACCTAGTGTTAGTATCTTGTAATCATTAAGCAGAAAGTCTAAACTTCATTCCCACTGTAAGTGCCTCCTCAGGTATAGAGGTTGAAATATGCATTCTGGAAGAGTAAAGGGAAGGCCTGATCTCTCCGTAGAGATTTTTCAACAGAGGTTACAAAGATCAAGATAGAATAGTGTGCTTTATAACTGAAATGAAGGAAAACACAGGATAGAAAAAGAATAATTTTTTGATATGGTAGCCATTAGCTTTTCCTGCCCTGAACTAAATTTTTGTAAAGTTACTACTTCAAATCAATGATAAAATGCCAGAAAGTAGGTTTTTAGAATGTTTCAAGTAAACAAATCCATAATTTCTAGTAAAAAAAAGAAAACCCATTAAATACTCTAATACACACTACACCCTCCCGTGGGCAAGCCTCCATGGAAAAATATAAAAAGATTTAGTTGGATTTTCCACTCAGTTAAATCAGTCCTATAACTAATGAAATGATGGCTCTAAAAACCTCATAAAAGTTAACACTACTTTAATCACTTGTCTTAGTATCTGAGTTGGAAGAAAGATTTTTTAAAAATAACAATTTAGATCCTATAGAGTAGTAATTTAAGCAAATAAAATCATGATCTGTTTATCTTCCCTTAAAAAACAAAATATCAGATTATTTCCTTATCTTAGAAAAAAAGGTAAACAGAATAAATCACATATAAAGATGTATAATTAAAAGATAAAGTATAATTTATATCATGAGCTGCAAAGGTGGCACTAATATCTTAAAGCAAAATCCAAAAATTATGGTTCCTTAGTGAGAACTGTGGCAGAAAAGCAGTATGTTCATTAAGTTTTTCAGGAAAACAACTTACATTATCACCTGGTAATGTTTAGTATTACTGGTCTCATGAGGTTATGTGGTCACTACACAGAAATATAAACATACTTGGAATAAAATTAAGAGACTACCTAAAAGAGCCCTTATTCTATGTGGCTAATGTTTCAGTACTTAAGTGATATAACAGAAGCAAAAACCAGATTAAAGTATTCTGCAATGGTCCAAATACCATTTCAAGTTTGTCCAATTTACAACAGAATACAAAGTATATATTTAATACATAAGCCTAGAAATCATGTATGAAGATGTAAATTTCCCCAAATGCACGAAAGATATTTGAATATATATACTCTGAGAAAAACGAGTTACAACTAAAACTACTTAAGGTCTTATTAACAACTAGACTATGAGACCAGCAATTAAAGGACAATGGTGACATCTAGTGGACGTTTCAAATATATGCCACACATCTTGGATCAAGATCTGATTTTCAGTGTGTCACATAATTCATAATCCCTGAGAGATTAAAGGACAAACCTTTAATTTTAAACCAAAACAAGTCAGCTCTGCTCCCAAAAGGCTGCTCAATATGAGTAACCCAATCTTGTGTAAATACAAAATGTTTAACAAAGTAAAGAAGTAGCATCTCAAGTCTTTAAAGCACTAAATACTGATTAAATGTATCAGATACATGACTAAAAGAAGGGCTGGTGTTCAGTATAAAAGGTTCAATATAATTATGGTAATAAAAAGAATCTAAAATGTTATGAATGAAAAAAGTACTGGAGTAAATGAGGTAACTTACAAAGAAAATGAAGAACTGATCAATTTGTGAATTTATTCAAGCCTGGAAACTACGTATTAACCAGTATGGTCAGGCAAAATAAGTATTTTTAAACTAAAAGAAGAGTATCTTACTTAGGACTATTTTTCAAAGACAAATTAGTATTCAAGAAAATTTAAAAAAAAAGAAAAAGAAAATTTATAGGATCATTCTTTAAAAGTAAAGGGAGATAACTTTATCTTCCTTTAGGAATAAGACCAGGGGGCAGCGGTTTAGCGCCGCCTTCAGCCTCGGGTGTGATCCTGGAGACCTAGGATTGAGTCCCATGTCAGGCTCCCTGAATAGAGTCTGCTTCCCCCTCTGCCTATGTCTCTGCCTCTCTCTCTCTCTCTCTCTCTCTCTCTCTCTCTCTCTCTCTCTCTTTGTGTCTGTCATGAATAAATAAATAAAATCTTAAAAAAAAAAAGAAAAAGGAATAAGATCAGATGATCATCTCAAAAAGTGACAAACTTATCTCAAAGAAGGACAAAGAAACAAAAAACCAACATGCCTGTGTGTGACAATGTCCTTACTTATTTGTCAGTATATAAATAAATTTCACAAGGAACCAACACTGCATTAAATAAGTAAATAATGAAAGAATATGTGATTCTTTTTTTTTAAAGATCTTACTTATTTATTCATGAGAGACACACAGAGAGAAATAGACACATAGGCAGAGAAAGGTACTTGATAGGTACTCAATCCCAAGACCCCAGGATCACACCCTGAGCCAAAGGTAGATGCTCAATCACTGAGCCACCCAGATGCCCCAAGAATATGTGATTCTTATTAAGTATTTTAACTAACTCAGGGAAGAAATATAAATGTAGAGACAAGGTCTTATAAACACTAAGTCAAATTAGTCCAGGCCACAAATTGGCTGGAGGTCTTTCAAAAATCACAGGTGCTTCCCAGATCTCACAGAATCACCTAATTTAAAAGATTTTTAATGATTATTTGAGCTCAGTGACTTTCTGACAAGGGCCAGAACTTAACAAGTACAAAGTTGAAACTCATTGAAGGTATCTCTGAAATGTATTGTGGGACTAATAACATTCAGGTCACAAAAGCATTATCCTAATAGCTTCAAAAAGTTATATAGCAGATAAATAAATTGGGGTATTCAAACAATGGAGTACAACTCCAGAATATAAAACAATGAAGCACTCTTACATGCAACAACAGGGATGGACTATCAAAAAATTAGGCTGAGCGAAAGAAGCCTTATAAAAAGTTATATCATCTGTGATTCCATTTACACAACATGCTAGAACAGGCAAAACTGATCTATAGAATGAATGAACAAGCAAACAAAAAAAATTAGAACAACACTTACCTCTGAGAGTAGGATAGAGATGGAGATTGATCGGGAAGGGATATGAGGGAATTTTATGGGGTAATGAAAATGTTCTATAACTCAACAGGAGTCGGGATTACACATATGTTTGCTTTTGTCAAAACCAAATAATACACTTAAGATTTGTGTAAACTGTATATAATTGTACTTTAAAAAATGAACCTCAAGCAAATATTCGTAATTGCAGTTATCACAGAACATGCTGAAGTATCTGAGGTGGTAAGTACAAATATCTGCAACTTATACTGAAATGTATATAAAAATTAGATGAACTGATGGACAGATTAAAATAAATATAGTAAAATAATAATTACAAAATCTACAAAGTTAGTACACTGCAGTTCACTATACAATTCAGCTTTTCTGTATGTCTGAAAATCTCCATAATAAAATACTGGAAAAAAAAGTGAGATGACAATCAGAATTCAAAAAAATTTTCAAATATAAAAAGTTAAAATGTTTTCTTAAATATTAGTAATTTTCCTCATATATTAACATCTTAATCTAATGTCAAATATAACTATTTTCTAAAAACAAGATTTACAGGATGACATATTTTTTAAAATGTGAATGACATACCCGAATTTCTTGAAGATTGTGAAAATTATTTCCTACTCTGACTGATATCTTGCTTGGAGTATAGCTTTCATCAGATTTGTAGTCTGCATAAATACATAATGTCTTCACTGTTGTTTTTCTTCTAAAAACAATAAAATAAAAATATGCTCTTTATCATATAGAAAGATCATATCTAAAACAACTTCTGATCATAGTTTGCTAAAATGAGTACTTCAATCAATCATTTATAATTCCTTTCATTTTAGCAATAAAAATAAATAATAAATATACAGATACACATTTATATAGGCATCTCTTATCTAGAAGATGGTCAAGGGATGCCTGGGTGGCTCAGTGAGTTAAGTGTCTGCCTTTGACTCACGTCATGATCCCAGGGTCCTGGGATCCAGCCCACAATTGGGCTCCCTGCTCAGCTCTGCCCTCTTCTCCCACTACTTGCACGTGCTCTTTCTCTCTCTCAAATAAATAAAATCTTTCCACAACAACAACAACAACAAAAAGAACATGGTCAAGAATCAGATGTTAGCAAATTAAAAACAGTTAAACCAAAAGAGGAACTTTAAAGTGCAAATAAGCATTAAGAATTTCAGTCCTCTTCATTATATTTTAGACAAATAAATTATTCTAACAAGCTTGGTTTTATCAGTAAATTACTTAATTTCCTATGCCAATACTTGAAAATAACTACCTCAGCAAGAAATTAAGTCCAGCAAAAATAAAATCATTTGTAATATAATTTTATAATATATAAACATATTATAGCATATGTTTTACAACAGCATAATTTTAAAATATAATGTCTTACTGCAAGAAATAAAATTCTGCCATCTTTAAAACATACATATCGGGATCCCTGGGTGGCACAGCGGTTTGGCGCCTGCCTTTGGTCCAGGGTGCGACCTGGAGACCCAGGATCGAATCCCACGTCAGGGTCCCGGTGCATGGAGCCTGCTTCTCCTTCTGCCTATGTCTCTGCCTCTTTCTCTTTCTCTCTCTCTCTCTCTCTCTCTCTGTGACTATCATAAATAAATGAAAATTAAAAAAAATTTAAAACACACATATCTTAGGAAGATAAGCAAAGACTAATATAACACAAAATTAATCTCAGAAAAAATGCAAGTGGCCAAAAAACATGAAAATGTTTAATCTCTAGAAATCAAAGAAAGGGAAATTAAAATACAGATATTAGTTTTATCACACTGAAAAATATTAAAATGACTAATACTCAAATTTAATTAGAAAAAAGTACTTTCATAACCAGTTAGTTATGGTACACAGCCTTTGACTCATGAATTCAACTTCTAAGAATGCATTAAAAAGCAAAGATAATACAACTACTCAAAAATGGATGCAGAAAAATGTTTACCATCCTGGGGTTAAATTACTAAAAAATCATAAACAACCTAAATATCCATCTCAATAGGAAATTAGTTAAATAAATTATACTCAGTCTATAAAACTGTATAAGTTATACATATATAGGTTAGAGGAAAAAGCAGATTACAAAACAATATATACAGAAGGACTGCATTTTGGGGAAAACAAAAAAAATTTCAAGGCGTATAATAAACCTATCTATAAGTATACATGTTCTATATAAATACATATATACATACTACACATACATAGATGTACATAGAATCATATAAAAAATAATAAAAGTGGGATCCCTGGGTGGCGCAGCGGTTTAGCGCCTGTCTTTGGCCCAGGGCGCGATCCTGGAGACCCGGGATCGAATCCCACGTCGGGCTCCCGGTGCATGGAGCCTGCTTCTCCCTCCACCTGTGTCTCTGCCTCTCTCTCTCATTCTGTGTGACTATCATAAATAAATAAAAATTTAAAAAAAAAAATAATAATAAAAGTGACTAGTTTGGTAGAGTAGAACTATGGGAGAGCTTTCTTCTTTATGATTCATGTATTTTCTGATTAATTTTTTTTGCATTGAGTATATGCTACTTGGGTCATTAGGAAAAAGAAAAACACTAGATAATTTAAACATCAACCAAAAAAACCATTAAGAAGTCTATTTAAACGAGCTTTAAAAGTTAAGTTCTGGTATAAACTGGCACTAACTTAATAACAATGAGTTCCTTGAACAGAAGTAGTCTGTGTCAAAAGTCAACCTATAAAAACAGCAGGGGATCTGTAGCTCTTAGTGAGGGGACCAAACTTCTATAGCCCAAGCTATTCATCAGAAAGGAATGGGGAAAGTTAAGGACTTTTCCTTAAATAATAAAGACAGATCAAGATGTAAAACACTTAAATACCCAGGAACTGCTGACAGGATAAATACCATTTCCAGGTTTTGAGAAGAGGCCAGAGGTATCAAACTGACATCTTTCTCTTTCTGGTGGGCCAGGAAGGAGACATAAGAGGAAGTAAGGGAAGCCGGAGAAATTTTGAAGGGCATACAGAAGATATTTTCCCTGATGAGCCAGAGGCAGGGAGTGAAATGAAAGGTCTTTCTTATTCTGGAGAGATCAAAGATCATGAAGACTCTTGAGGACTTTTGCTTTTCCTTTTTAACAAAAACAGATCTAAAGGATCAAGCTGTTTACTCAGAATATTTTATCTCCAAGTTATGAAATTCACGATCATTTAGTCACTGGAACCCGCAAGATCATCAGGGTAAGATTAGAAAGACAAAGAAGGGTAACAAAAATAATGACTATAAAAACAACAGCAACAGCTAGAAAATAGCAAGTGGATACTGTGGCCCAGAAGTAAGGCTTTATATGCATTATTTCATTCATTCCTCAACCTTGGATACAGAAGCTATTATCACCTTCGTTTCACTGATTTAAAATAAGAAAAAAACATTATTTTAATAATAACTGGCTAGTAGGTGGGCACAGTTGGGAGTTCAAACATGTGTCCATCTGTCTGCCTCACATGGTCTTACCTTCCTGTTAATTAATTGTACTTAACTTATTCAATGGTCATTGATACTAGTTTACAGTAATATGTAGGTATCTGTAGTTCATTAAATTTGATCTGCCATAAGTTCTTAAGATCCATGTATTCCCAGAAATCATAGGTATAATGTTTGCTATATACATAATTTCATTACATTTGCAAAGGAAACTACAACGTCACCACAGGTTTAAAAACTGTTACGCTAGGGCAGCCTAGGTGGCTCAGCGGTTTAACGCCACCTTCAGCCCAGGGCCTGATCCTGGAGACCAAGACCTACGTCGGGCTCTCTGCATGGAGCCTGCTTCTCTCTCTCTCTCTTTCTCTCTCTTATTAATAAATAAATAAAATCTTTAAAAAAATAAAAAAATAAAAATTGTTACTCTAGAAGGTATCCATAAAACCTTTTAAAATTATTTATCAATTTTATCTCATGGTGCAGCAAAAAACCATGCTATATGTCAAATAGCAATGCATTTGACATAGATTAAATACATTAGATTCTAAGACATCATGGTAGCTATTCAAATTACTCAAAACATCATTATAATAATAATCACCATATACTGAATGCTTGTTCAGTGCCAAGCATCATGCTAAACTCTCAGGATAAAGTACTGTAGGAAGGAAAAGGGAAAAGAGTAACTCTTCCCCATTTCTGATGACATAAGTAACATTTCTATTACCCACCCTTCCCTTTCTTCTGAGAAAGAGCTGCTGGCAGGATACATACATTGACTTTGTTCCTTCATGCCATAAATTTAATAGGGGCAGGCTCTACCTGGCCTGGCACTTTTATGACTAGATGGGCATGTCTGTTTAATTCTAGGGTTTAATATTAAGAAACACATGTAACTGCAGATGTAAGCCCCTTTCTCAAGCATCAGCTTTGTCGGTTTGTGGTGATATTTTGGTCTCCACTTGCTGACTCCTGGATAAATTTCTCAACTCACTGGGAACCCATGAAATTGTAAGAGAAGACATTAGTAACAGATGCTCCTGGATGCCAACCTAACAGCCCCTTTTCCCTTTCTTCTTCATATCATCCTGCTAAAAGACTATATTCCCCAGCTTCCCTTAAATCTATAAATGACCATATGGCTAAATTATGGCCAGTGAGATTTGAATCAAATGACTATATTTTATAAAGTTTCCTTAAAGGAAGACACACCCTCTTACCTTCCCCACCTACTCCTTCCTGTTGCTTAGGATATGGACATGATGGGTAGAATTCCAATAGGCACCTTGAATCATGAGGTGACCCTCAGGATAGAGCTCTTGAGCTAAGAATGCTAGAATCAAAAGAGAAGGTATCTGAGTCCACAATACACTGTGTGGCTGCCATACCACTCTTGAATTGCCAGGTTCCTCTTATATGAAGAGAAAGAGAACATAAATCTCTACTTTGTTTAAAGCATTGTTATTAGAAGCTCTATTACAAAAAATAAATAAATAAATAAATAGGCAGCAGCTCTGTTAGCAGAAGGTCTCATTCCTATTTAATCATGTCCCCCATTATAGATAAATAAATGAAGGCTCAGATGCAGGATAAGCAAAAAGTCTGATTTACACATCTAGTAAAGCCCAGAGCCAGAATGTGAATCCAGGTCTGTAGGACTACAATATATAAGAGAAGGTACTAACTCCTGAGGCACAAGACTTAACACTAACGAAATAGTTACAATATTCTATTTATCATTTCATGTTAACATTCTAGATACATTATTACTAAGAGACCAAGACATAAAGAGTCCACAAACTTGCCTAACACAAAAGGCAAACAAATGGTTTACATTTAGAATAAATGACTACATTCTTCTTTGTTCCTCATACAATGGTGGAAAATGTCCCTTCGAAGGGAGAAGAAATAAATGGGTAGAAAATATCAGAAAGGAAGACAGAACATGAAGACTCCTAACTCTGGGAAACGAACTAGGGGTGGTGGAAGGGGAGGAGGGCGGCAGGTGGAGGTGAATGGGTGATGGGCACTGAGGGGGGCACTTGATGGGATGCGCACTGGGTGTTATTCTGTATGTTGGCAAATTGAACACCAATAAAAAATAAATTTATTATTAAAAAAAAAAGAAAATGTCTCTTCATGTAAAGTTAATTTTCATCAATACGAACATAATGCTAAAATGCAAGTTTTCACTAAAGGGTAAGACAACAAATACCATGTTTTAATGGGATATATAAAACCTCAGTGTA